TGTTCTCGGCGTTTCGAGAGCTCGAATGTGAACCGATCGGTTTTGCGTTCTATAGCGGGTAAGTTGTTTTCCCCTTCTCCTCAACTGTCTTTGAATCTAGGGCATGCCACTTTACTGGTTGCATGCAGCTGGTAGCTTTTCCCTTTAGTTTCCTTGTTCATTCTAGCTCTAAGAAAGTTGTATCTACCCCCAAATTTGTGTGGTGGTAGGGTCTGTGGAACTTGTTTCTGTGCGAGGGTTACTATTTTGGGGCTTCTTCTAAAGTGTTGTGCTTATAACCACCAAGGTAAGGGGAGCTAGTGTCTTGTTAAAAATTTGTTGTATGATATGTATGTATATTAAATTCTGAGTTGGTATGTTGTTGATATAAAACTGTGTTATTATTGAGTTGGAAGAATTGAGGGTTTTAAATGATAGAAATGAAATTGGACCACTTGTAGAAGTGAATTTGGATTTTTAAGTGTATAAAAAGGGGTTTGACACCGTGTCGTGGAATTCTAGTGATAAATGGATGTTTGTTTTAACTTATAAACGTGTTTCCCATCATTAACCAATGTGTAAAGAACCCCCCTTTAGTCATTAAAACAGGTTTCAAGTGCATCAAAAGTCAAATTTCATGGTTGCTGTCAACTGTATGGGCTGGGCGCCCTCTGGTTTAGCCTTAGCGCCCCTCGGGCGCCCCTGGATGCGAGGCGGTTCGCCCCGAGCGCCCCTAGGCGCACCAACATGCTGTTGTCTTTGTTTTTGATAGTTTTTGGGGTTTCGGATGTCCGTTTTGGACGTTTCTTAGGTCGTTTTGGGGGTTTTGGACCTATCTAAATGTTGGTGATGGTTTCAAAGCCATTTTCTTGGTCTACGTATGAGTTACCCGGGTTTGTGTGTTTGTGGTTCTCTTGGGACTGTTATTATCTGATAATGTGTATTGGATTGATTTAATTTGTTTGCCTTAACAGATTGTCATGTACGTTTATGATGAGGCTTGGGTGGTTGGAAAGAAACTGGTTGTGAACTATAATGATGTTTTGAGTATGATTTGGACATCTCAGGTTGAGATGATGATTGGAAGTGGTTGTAGGGCGTTGTTGTTTCTGTTATAACTGTATGAGCTTTGAACGGTTATTATGTCTATCCCTACACTCAAATGTTATGTTCATGAAGTTACAAAAATGTGCATGTGAGCGTTTAATGCATTTATATGTATTTAATGCTCATCACATTGTATTAATCATTTGGTTACAAAAGTCATGCGTAAAAGGATCTCATATGACTAAATCACTCTTCAATGAAAGATTTTGTAAATATATATGTTAATTGATACTCTACTGAGACAAAACTTTAGAACAATAATGCTTTTTCTAAACATAATCTCTAATAAAGTGATATTTAATCCCAATGTATTTCGCTCTAGAATACAAGACAATATTTTTTGTAAAAGTTCATGGCAATTATCTCAATGTACGAATGTACTCTCCTTTGTATGTAGTTAATTTAATGGTTTTTGATCCAAATGATTTACGAACAACAATTAATAGTTGATATACTCTCTTCAATCGTAATTAATGCCAATTGTCCCATGATTTTTGTTGCACCATGAAAAACTAAATTTCACCCATGAAGTGGACATCTTTTACCAATGTTTTTTCTTCCAACCTTATCCCCCTCATAATGAACATCACATTATCCCTCACGCTTTTTGTAGTAGGAGACCAATATTAAATAGTTACCTTTAAATCTAACATTTTTTTTTAATAACACTTAAATGTACTTCTCTTAGGTCTGATTGAAAGTTAACACATAATCATACATTAAACATGATATCGAGTCTAAATATAGTGAGATATAAAAATGAACCAATCATATGTCTATATTTAGTATATCTATTGACTTTGATCCTTTCGAATCCTAGGGGGGCTTTTTGTGATGTGTTGGGATTCTTCATTTTTTTGTGCAATTATTTTTTTAAGGACTTCTCTAACATTTTTGGTTTGATGGATACAAAAAATATGGATCAATAAACTCGTTTTATTTGTAAACCAAGAAAAATTTTAAATTCTACCATCATGCACATCGGAAACTCACTGTCATAAGGCTTGAAAAATCTTCACACAATAATTCGTCAGGTAGCAAAAAATGATGGCATGTTACATATATTTGCACAAGTATTTGGAGTCTTTTATAGAATTCTTCTAAGTAGTTGGTGTCTAGGTGACATTTAGTAAAACCCCTTTTCATTAACAAAATAATCAACCTCAGTTTAGGAATTTACTTTTAAACCAAATAACACTTTATTGAATTTATAGACATGGTCAACCTCAAGTTTTAGGAATTTACTTTAAACCAAATAAACACTTTATTGAATTTATAGACCATGGTTGATGTGTTGAATCCTCAAATCTAGGAAGTTGTAGGATAACTTTCCATTTATACATTTTTTACTAAAAGAAGTTTTTTTAGTTTGATTTATTTGGGATTTTTCTAGAATTAGATTAATTTTTGGCTTTGGTTTAAAAAAATAATTGTTTGTGAAATTTGTGTTAAAAAAATTTGTTCTCCATAGCAATTTAAGTTTAAATAAACGATATGGTTTTTTTAGAAAAATAAAAAAGAATAGAAAAATAAGATAGAGTAGAATTTCAATTTTTTCTCAAGTTTGATTTTAACCCTTGGTTTAGGATTCGTCAAAATGCATGAGGGAAAGCTCTGCGGTCCAATTTGATTTGAAATGGGATAACCTAGCCTGACCTCATGAAACATAAATGTTGGACCTTTGTTGGAGAGAACTCAATCAGGATACGTGAGTTCAACTACAAATGAAAATCTCTTAAAGGAGTGGCACCAATGTTGAAGTGAAAATGACTCAATCTCAAGCACCAAAGTACAAATGAAACCAGTAGTGCAGGGTGTTCTTGATTTAGTGCAGGGTGTTCTTGATTCAGTGAGCGTAAACTAGCCATTGGAAAGGAAGTGTTGCTGCTGTACAGGGTAAGGGTTTGAGTGCTGCAAGTACAAAGTGACCTCAAGAACCACTTGAGTGATCTTTCGGTACTATAATTCTTAAACTCAATGCATTCTTTTTTTTTCTTTTACTTTTAATTCAATGTAATTCTTCAATTGTTGCGATTGAAAGTTTGGATTTTTTCTACTTTTCTAATTTTCTTTCTCGATCATAGCTTAGTTTAGTTCTTTTTCCTTTCTTTCGTGCATTACACTTTTACAACACTTAATTCCTGATTTACATTTTAGGTAGTTTGCAATTGATATGCCCTGTTTGTCCTATCTTTTGTTCACCCTTAATTCAGAATCAATTTTCTTGTATTACTTGGAAGATTGAATGTTACAACCTGCATATCTTGGTTTCTGATTGAGAACCTAAAGGACCCCAAAGTGGCATTGTTTTATAAGATGTCTTTTTGAGACAGCTTTTAGTTCAATGCACCGATTAAGACAAGATTTTTAATTTTGGGTTATGATTTTCTTTGTTACATTCTTGCATTTAAATTCACAAATATTCCGTTTATGCGTTACTTTCTTTACTTCTTGGCACTGCAATTTCTCATTGCCTTATTTTGTGATTACAGTTGTTTAGTTGTTTAGCATGGTTAATCCTGAATTTTATTTTCTTGCATTGATCTTGTGATTTTAATTTCTACCTCTGCATTGCATACATATAAAATTTTAGCTTTAAAGCATATTAGTTAATACCCAAGTGGGTATTTGGTTCTTTTCACTTTCTGTTCCTATTAAATGGTGTTAGGTTCATTTCATATTGCGTAAAGCCTATTTACAACATTTGAATAATAGTTAGATCATTAATAGTTAGATCATTAGGTTGCATAAACTATGCATTCACAGATTAGTCATTGTTATTGTAACACAAGTCACTGCCAATATTCTGTCTGAGATTGATTCTTGATCCTGTGTAAAACACACGTAGGTTAGTTGCATTCTCCATTTCATTCCAACATTTCCAGACTTGGTTAACCACTTACACCTGCATTCATTGCATTATAGGTTAATAGAGCATACAATATTGGCATTTTAAATCCTGTGATAACATTTGACTTACATGCTGGTTGATGTGAATGCTAGTTTCAACTGTGAATTTAGCTTTTACATTTAAACGACTTAATTGAATTGCATCTCCCATCCATCATCATCATTCTAGATTTGTTTAAAATTTTGCATAAGGTTCTGCATTGTTACACAGTAAAAACAGAAACTGCCTTGAACTTATTTTCAAGTGAGGCCAATCTGCCATCTTCGGTTTCATGCATGAATTTTATTTTTGGCATCCTTTTTTGCATCCTAATTTCATTGCTCACATTAATAGGTTGTAGTCAACAACACGCTTCATGCATTAGGTTTCCAAATTTCTTAGTTTTAGTTCTCATATGACTTTCATCGAACAATTTTAAAAATCATTATTCTGCATTGCTTCTTGCATTTTTAATTGACCATATACATTTCTTTGCACAACTATATTAGATTTAGTTAACCATATTGATTTGATACTCATATGCTATTAGCATCTACATTGCATCAACCATATAAATTGCATATGCATGATATTCTGCCATATCTCAATTTAGGTTATTTCTTGCACTGGAGTAGTTTACATGCATCATTTTCATTCATTTCATATTCGTTTTCCCATTCTTTGCATCTATTTGGGCTGAGTTCATGCCAGCATAACACTCTCTTGTGAGTCATCTCCTTGGATTTAACACTTTGCTTGCCATTATATTTATTATATTAGTGGGGAAATCAAGTTTTGTTTAAATCTTAGTGCGACATAGGGTTTAACGTTGTCCTAAGTAGACTTCTTCCTTAACAAATCCATTTAGAAATGTACTTTTTACATCCATTAGATATAATTTTATGTTACTATATACAACAAATGACATTAATATACGAATAGCTTCTAGTCTAGCAACAAGAGCATAAGTTTCAATATAGTCAATATTTTCCTATTGTGAGTAACTTTTGCTACCTGCTTGCTTTGTTTCTAACAATGTCGTTGATAACACTCAATTTGATGCATTTTTGCTTGACCATTTGCATATCTTTGGGGATGTTTTAGTCATTAATTCCTAGTTTTTGACTTAAATTTAGTTTAGAGTAGGATAATTCTAGTTTTTATTAAGTTTCATTAGATTAGCTTATGCTAGAATATTTTTTTTATTAGTTTCTTAGATTTTATTAGCTTAGTATAGGTAGTAATATAGTCTACTTACGATTCAATTTAACTTTGACCTCTAATAGTATAAATTTTAGATTACAAGTAGATATAGTTTTGGAATTAAATTTTGATGTATAATTTTATGGTGTTAATTTGGTTGTTCTTGAAGTGTGTAGATCATTTGAGGAATAAAGAGGTGTAGCTGCTGCCATGCTGGAAATGCTTACACTGCCATGTTGGATTAAATGAGTGATGACCTGGACATTGGCAAGTTGACACGAGTATCTGATCAGCCAATTAAGGGACTCCAAGAGACAAAAGCAAAGCTGGGCAACAAAGACAACTAGAATACTTGTGACTTGGACAAGTTGAATAAATGCACATTTGGGAGACTTGAAGCACCAACACTCACATGTTCTTGGCTTTAGTTTTACTTGTTACATACAGTCTCTTAGGTAGTTAACTAGTTGTATTAGATATATTATTTTTATCTTTATTTTTTATATTTAATTAGTTTGATATTATTTTTTATTTATATTTTGGGTTTAGTCCATATTTCTTCTATTATAAATAGAATACCCTACATGTATATTCATTATATTCAACTTTAGAGTCAGGTTCTTTTGAGAAAAAAAATTCTATTGCCTTTGCATTACACCTGTTGCTGCCGGCGTCGTCTATCGTTGCCACTACTAGAGTTCCAGTTTTGTCTAACAATCACACTGTTTTCATTGTCTCGGCCAGGTGACTACCGTGTCGTCAACATCGCCTTCATTGGAGCTTTTACACGCTCTCAACGCCTTTTGAAGTTGTGAATCTGTTGCTTTTTCCATTGTGCATGTGACATGTCTCATCTCCTCTTAGACAACGACTTAGAGTGTCGATGTCGTTCTTTTTCCTCTTTCAGGTTCGTTGTGCATTGTTGCATGTCCCGTCTCCTCTCAGGCAACTATTTAGAACATTGAGGTTGGTCATTTTCCTTTTTCTAGTGCCTTGATTGGAGAATTTTGGATTTTTAATGGTTTTTCTCTTCTGTTCATCCATGGCTTCTTCCTCTTCTAACCTTTCTTTTGTCACTATTGCTTTTGATTCGTCCATATATATTTTTTCTCTCGTGGCAAAGATGATTTTTGTTAATTTATTAATAGTCGTGGTGACTCTTCAACAATGATCTATTTATCCACTGGATGACAATAATGCATTCCTTAATGACGATTTGTAAGAAGAGATTTATATGGAGCAATCTCCCAGATTTGTTGCTTAGGCGAGTCTTTTGGATTGGTATTACATCTATTATCTTTATCTTTTATATTTAGTTAGTTAGTTTATTATTATTTTTTATTTGTATTTTGTACTTAGTCCATATTTCTTCTATTATAAATAGAATACTTTATGTGTATATTCAATATAAGGGAGATTAACCGCATACATTGATTTCACTATATTCAACAAGTTGTTTAAATAATTTCCATAAAAGGTTTGTAATAGGAACTTGTTAGATAAATGGACATTACATTACACACTTTTACATCTTGCAGATTTTTCAGTTCTTAGATAAGGGTTTTTTCTCTAGAGTTCTTCATCTCCTAGACTACAATCTAAGCATAGTGATGTGGAATCCTCAAAAAGCTTTAACCTGTTTGCTTCTAGACTTCTATGAAATTCCATTGAGTGAATCCTTCAACATTTTGTTTTCAGGAGCAAGCCAATTCTTGAATACAAGTAAAATTGAATAACTCTTGATTCTACTTCAATACTATTTTATGTCTAGTGTTCTTCTTTGAGTTTGCATTTTTTTAGCTATGGATTATGATGATTTTTTTTTTGGAAATTACTCTTCATGTTGTAGTGCTGAAACTGATTTTAGAACTCTAAAGAGTATAAAAAAAAGTTAAGAAGGGGAGCTGATCATGCCATTTTATTGCAATACTATAAAATGAAATTTCATGTTGATTTATTTGATCCGGAACCTGATTTGGATGCTTTCCAACTTTTACACACTGCACCTATTAAGTTCGATGTTGCAACTGCTGATATACTGATGCTTCAATTCACACTCATGATTCTGATGTAATCTATGTTGTTAACTACATTTATATACCTGTAACCAATTGTGTTAATACTTGCAGACATTGATTTGATTTTTGCTAATGAGTGTGATTTTGAGAATGCTAGTTTTGCAATGACTGAGGATTTGAAAGTTGACTTGTTTGAGTTGGATTTTATGATTGATTCTGCTGACAGTTATGAGGATCCTATTCCTACTTGTGATTTTGAATTGAATGATCCAGTTGATTTTGATTTTCCACCATTTTATCATGATGTGGCTTCTGAGTTTCATGCTAATATTTTGGATTTTAGCATGAGATGGTGTTGTTCTGACAGGTTGAGGTAGCTAAGTTTCTGCACCAAATTTGTACTCGAAACGATTTTTGTTGCAATTTATAGAATATTATTAGAAAAATAAATTTAAATAATCTTTTTATCTTTTAATTATAATTTTTTTTATTAAAATTAAATTAAAGATATTTTTATAATTTATTATATTATTCAAACTTTTTTTTCTACTGTATCAATAAAATATAGTGCATCCACTCTCTCTTGGATACAAACAAATTAAAGAAATACCTTAAGTCTTGAATTTGGAATTTTTTTGACTTAATAGGTGGGAATGGAACCATCTAGCAGACCTTTTTTTTTCCAACGGGAAGACTAGCATGCCATTGTTGATTTTTGCAGAGAGAGTACACACTGCCAAATGACTAAAAACCCCTCCAAACAGACACAAAACAACGTAATTGCCCTAACCTTAGTGGATCCGATTAAGATTCTCAAACACCACCTAATATCACGGCTATTACATTGCAGACCTGCCACTACTGCTAACTTCCAAACCTTCAATCACCACTTTAATGCATCCAAACAAACCTTATCATTTTTCAACCCTAAACATGCTCTTTATTTTCTCTTACTTTCGAGTTAGATTATACACGTGTTATTAGTAGGAAAAATAAATTTAACATTTTGGTATACTAAAATTAGCAATATTAACAAGTTAAAAATAAAAAATTAAAAGAATTAATTTTAACTAATAAAAATTCTACCGAAATATCTTACATATTAAGAAAACCTTAAGATAATTAATAAAATAAAACATATTTATAAGACATTAGATCGTGATTTGATAAATTCTAAACAAAAGTTTATTTCGAAACTTATAAATAGAAAGACAAATAAAAAAATAGATAATTGTATTTATTGGACATTTAAAACTTAACCGTTATCGTTATTATTGAAAATTGACTTGAGCGTCAGACTTCAGGTATCTAGCTACTCAAATTTGGACATTTAAACCTTAATGAAGAAGATTTTATCATTAAAAAAGATGAACAATCTGTGTAAAGAAAAATAACTTAAAACATGTAAGTATAGTTCTCGACCCTGTTTACCGAAACAAAATCTAACTTTATTTCTTCTAAAAATTTGTATGAAATCCAAATAAAGATTTCTTTGAAATATTAAAAAATCCAATAGAATTTACTGTGTTTATTCATATATTAGAGATCATTCATGTAATAAATTGTTTAATCCTAGCCTATACAGAAACTCTTGAACCATTAAAAATCACATATATATATATATATATATATATATATATATATATATNTTACACCTGTTGCTGCCGGCGTCTTCTATCGTTGCCACTACTAGAGTTCCAGTTTTGTCTAACAATCACACTGTTTTCATTGTCTCGGCCAGGTGACTACCGTGTCGTCAACATCGCCTTCATTGGAGCTTTTACACGCTCTCAACGCCTTTTGAAGTTGTGAATCTGTTGCTTTTTCCATTGTGCATGTGACATGTCTCATCTCCTCTTAGACAACGATTTAGAGTGTCGATGTCGTTCTTTTTCCTCTTTCAGGTTCGTTGTGCATTGTTGCATGTCCCGTCTCCTCTCAGGCAACTATTTAGAACATTGAGGTTGGTCATTTTCCTTTTTCTAGTGCCTTGATTGGAGAATTTTGGATTTTTAATGGTTTTTCTCTTCTGTTCATCCATGGCTTCTTCCTCTTCTAACCTTTCTTTTGTCACTATTGCTTTTGATTCGTCCATATATATTTTTTCTCTCGTGGCAAAGATGATTTTTGTTAATTTATTAATAGTCGTGGTGACTCTTCAACAATGATCTATTTATCCACTGGATGACAATAATGCATTCCTTAATGACGATTTGTAAGAAGAGATTTATATGGAGCAATCTCCCAGATTTGTTGCTTAGGCGAGTCTTTTGGATTGGTATTACATCTATTATCTTTATCTTTTATATTTAGTTAGTTAGTTTATTATTATTTTTTATTTGTATTTTGTACTTAGTCCATATTTCTTCTATTATAAATAGAATACTTTATGTGTATATTCAATATAAGGGAGATTAACCGCATACATTGATTTCACTATATTCAACAAGTTGTTTAAATAATTTCCATAAAAGGTTTGTAATAGGAACTTGTTAGATAAATGGACATTACATTACACACTTTTACATCTTGCAGATTTTTCAGTTCTTAGATAAGGGTTTTTTCTCTAGAGTTCTTCATCTCCTAGACTACAATCTAAGCATAGTGATGTGGAATCCTCAAAAAGCTTTAACCTGTTTGCTTCTAGACTTCTATGAAATTCCATTGAGTGAATCCTTCAACATTTTGTTTTCAGGAGCAAGCCAATTCTTGAATACAAGTAAAATTGAATAACTCTTGATTCTACTTCAATACTATTTTATGTCTAGTGTTCTTCTTTGAGTTTGCATTTTTTTAGCTATGAATTATGATGATTTTTTTTTTGGAAATTACTCTTCATGTTGTAGTGCTGAAACTGATTTTAGAACTCTAAAGAGTATAAAAAAAAGTTAAGAAGGGGAGCTGATCATGCCATTTTATTGCAATACTATAAAATGAAATTTCATGTTGATTTATTTGATCCGGAACCTGATTTGGATGCTTTCCAACTTTTACACACTGCACCTATTAAGTTCGATGTTGCAACTGCTGATATACTGATGCTTCAATTCACACTCATGATTCTGATGTAATCTATGTTGTTAACTACATTTATATACCTGTAACCAATTGTGTTAATACTTGCAGACATTGATTTGATTTTTGCTAATGAGTGTGATTTTGAGAATGCTAGTTTTGCAATGACTGAGGATTTGAAAGTTGACTTGTTTGAGTTGGATTTTATGATTGATTCTGCTGACAGTTATGAGGATCCTATTCCTACTTGTGATTTTGAATTGAATGATCCAGTTGATTTTGATTTTCCACCATTTTATCATGATGTGGCTTCTGAGTTTCATGCTAATATTTTGGATTTTAGCATGAGATGGTGTTGTTCTGACAGGTTGAGGTAGCTAAGTTTCTGCACCAAATTTGTACTCGAAACGATTTTTGTTGCAATTTATAGAATATTATTAGAAAAATAAATTTAAATAATCTTTTTATCTTTTAATTATAATTTTTTTTATTAAAATTAAATTAAAGATATTTTTATAATTTATTATATTATTCAAACTTTTTTTTCTACTGTATCAATAAAATATAGTGCATCCACTCTCTCTTGGATACAAACAAATTAAAGAAATACCTTAAGTCTTGAATTTGGAATTTTTTTGACTTAATAGGTGGGAATGGAACCATCTAGCAGACCTTTTTTTTTCCAACGGGAAGACTAGCATGCCATTGTTGATTTTTGCAGAGAGAGTACACACTGCCAAATGACTAAAAACCCCTCCAAACAGACACAAAACAACGTAATTGCCCTAACCTTAGTGGATCCGATTAAGATTCTCAAACACCACCTAATATCACGGCTATTACATTGCAGACCTGCCACTACTGCTAACTTCCAAACCTTCAATCACCACTTTAATGCATCCAAACAAACCTTATCATTTTTCAACCCTAAACATGCTCTTTATTTTCTCTTACTTTCGAGTTAGATTATACACGTGTTATTAGTAGGAAAAATAAATTTAACATTTTGGTATACTAAAATTAGCAATATTAACAAGTTAAAAATAAAAAATTAAAAGAATTAATTTTAACTAATAAAAATTCTACCGAAATATCTTACATATTAAGAAAACCTTAAGATAATTAATAAAATAAAACATATTTATAAGACATTAGATCGTGATTTGATAAATTCTAAACAAAAGTTTATTTCGAAACTTATAAATAGAAAGACAAATAAAAAAATAGATAATTGTATTTATT